GACCTGCCATAAGGGAGGAAGGAAGGCAGAAGGTCGACCTGCCATAAGGGAGGAAGGAGGGGAGGAAGGGAGAAGGTCGACCTGCCATAAGGGAGGAAGGAAGAACATAAGAACATAAGAAAATAAGGAGTCTGCAATAGGCCGGTTGGCCTGTGCATGGCAGCTCCTGTCGAGAGTTACTACCACTCTCTATCATCCATGAACCTATCTAGCCTCCTTTTGAAACTTTCCAGAGTTCCAGCACTTACTACAAAGTTGATAAGCTTGTTCCACTCGTCCACCACCCTATTTGTGAACCAGTTTCTTCCTATCTCCCTCCTAAACCTTAACTTATCCAACTTGAATCCGTTGTTCCGAGTCCTATCCTGCTCGGATATTATAAGAACTTTATCTATATCACCTTTATTGATTCCTTTCACCCACTTGAATACTTCTATCATATCTCCCCGCACTCTTCGTCTTTCTAGGGAATGCAAGTTTAGTTTCTTTAACCTATCCTGATATGGAAGGTTTCTAAGTCCCGGAATCATTTTCGTCATTCTTCGCTGCACCGACCCTAGTGAATTGATATCCATTTTATAATAAGGGCACCAGAACTGAACCGCATAATCGAGGTGCGGCCTGACTAGCGCAAGATATAGTTGCAATAAGACCTCTGCACTCTTATTACTTACACTTCTAGATATAAAACCCAATACTCTGTTTGCCTTATTTCGAACATTAACGCACTGTTTTCTAGGCCGTAGGTCCGGGCTTACACCCTAGGTCTCTTTCACAAGTCGACTTCTCTAGGTTGATGTTGTTAAGGCTGTATACATTGACAGTATTTGTTCTTCCAATATTAAGTACGCTGCACTTGCTGGTGTTGAATTTCATTTGCCATTTTTCAGACCACCCCTGCAGTTTATTTAGATCCTCCTGTAATGCATTTGCATCCTGCCCTGAACTAATCTGCCGCCCTATTTTGGTGTCATCCGCAAACTTGCTTATGTCACTGCTGATCCCAGTATCTACAGTAGATCGTTTATGTAGATTATGAACAAGAGTGGGCCTAGTACTGACCCCTGGGGAACCCCACTGGTTACACGACCCCACTCAGATTTAACACCATCTACGCTGACCCTCTGCGTTCTATCGGTGAGCCATGATTTTATCCAATTTAAAGCTTTCCCCTCTATACCATGAGCCTTAATTTTTCTCAGAAGTCTCTGATGCGGTACTCTGTCAAATGCTTTGCTAAAGTCTAAGTAAATAACATCGTAATTTTCGTCATTATCTACTACCTCGAAGACTTTCCTAAAAAACGTTAGCAGATTTGTTAGACAAGATTTTCCCTTTGTAAACCCATGTTGAGAGTCGTAGATTAATTTGCTTTTCTCTAAATGCGATCGGATGTTATCTGCTACAATTGATTCAAGAAATTTCCCCACTACTGACGTCAAACTGATCGGCCGGTAATTTGACGCTGAGAAGGGAGAAGGTCGACCTGCCATATGGAAGCAAGGAAGGAAGGGAGGAAGGGAGGTCGACCTACCATAAGGGAGGAGGAAGGGAAAAGGTCGACCTGCCATAAGGGGCTACAATAAGTCGACAAATTTGTTTAATCCCGGCCTCACCAGAGGGAGTTATGGCGCCACTATATCACACCTTAATGGCTTGAAGATTTTCCAAGGAGACTACGACCGTTTCTTGTGGGGCTATGAGCGTGTCCACAGTGGCTATGGGCGTGTCTTGATGCGTATATGAAGCTGTGATAAAGAAGGACTATGGGCGTGTCCACAGGAACTATGGGCGTATCCACAGGAACTATGGGCGTATCCACAGGGGTTATGGGCCTGTTTCTCTTTAATGTTGACTTCGTTAAACTCATTATAGTTTCTTACAACAAAGACACATTATTCTTTAACAACAATAAATATTTTGCATTTTATTAATAAGACAAAATCAGCTGTTCATTTACAAATATTAAAGACTAAAAATATATATTTATTAAAGATAAATTAATTCAAACGCAATACCAAGACTTTACGTTGAAGAAAAATTAATGCATTTGCAATATTTGATACATTCCATTAACAATATTCCGTTTCCAATGTCTCACATATGTTGCATTATATAAGTATTATTTAAACACATGAACAAGTAGTTTCTTTGCAACATTGAATACATCGCAACAAACACAGATTCTACTTTGTCTTTAAACATTGTAGGATTAATTACCTTTACATCTGGCGGGTAAAAGCGACTGTATGTTTTATATGGTCGATATAAACTGTAGAGTGACTGTAGACTGGTTAACTGTGTCTTATATATTGACGATACTAGAGCGTAGACTGTACTGTATGTCAGGTTTATATATAGACGCACACACACACACACACACACACACACACACACACACACACACACACAGGCATGACATATACCCTCCATAGATCTGTTCCCTCGACAAGATTTCCGGACGATAACACCTCCGCAGTGGGCGTGGAGGAGGCGTGGGTGGAGGGGGGGGGTTGGGGCGTGCAGGAAGAGTGGTGAGCGTGGAAGGAGGGAAGGAGGAGAATGGCTTTTGGGGGGGAGGGGCAGAGGAGGGGGGCACAAAGACGGGCGTGGATGGGCGTGAAGCGTAGGGAGGCGTAGAAGGGAATAGAGGCTGGCCTGGAGAGGGAGGAAATGAGGAAAACGGGCGTGAGTGGGAGAGGAGGAGAGTGAGGGAAAGAGGAGGGTTGTGTAGGTCATCGTGGAGGGGCGTGAAGGAAGGCAAGGACAAGGGTAAGGAGAGGCGGGGAGAAATAGGAAGAGAGAGGAGAGGGAGAAAATAGGAAGAGAGGGAGAAAAGGGAGGAAAGGGGAGGAAGGGTAGTAGGAATTGAGGAAAAGGGAAAGGAGAGAGAGAGAGAGAGAGAGAGAGAGAGAGAGATAAAAACACCTATCAAACCAAATAACTCCAACAAAACAAACAAAACAAAGCCCCATCCCAACCCCCTCCCCCAACCCCCTCCCAACCCCCCAACCCCTCCCCAACCCCCCCCCCCAACCGCCCCCAACCCCCTCCCCCCAAAAAAGAGATATACCTCGAAGAATTTTTTATACATATATACATAATAAAATAATAATAATAATAATACACGACTCAAACTATTCAGTCCTTCACGGGGTATCGACTTGGTGTACTCGTCTCAAAGGTAAGGCTCCCTCATAACACTCACTCAAGTGCTCGGTTCTGTTTCTCTGACCTTGTTCTTCTTCTTCCTCATTTATCTGTTCCTTGTTCCTTATGTTCCATCAGTCTCCTCCTCCAGGTATTACGGAACGAGGGAATTTATACCCGTATACATCGTGTGGGTGAATGTGCATTGGTGTTATTATTGTTGTAGTTGTTAATGAATGGCGACCTGTGGTGTAATGGTTAGCATGCTCGCCTCGCAAGCGTGTGGTCCCAGGTTCGATCCAAGGGCAGGTTGAAACTATGGGCACGTTTCTTTGCGTCATTTGCCTCTGTCTACCCAGCAGTAATTGGGATCGTGTTCCGGGGTAATGGTTAGCCAGTGCAGTTGGCGAGTTGTCCGGTCTTCTCGGACTATTCCTTGACACTGAGTCACGCAACTCGTTAACTTATGGTGTGGTTGTTGTGTTGGTAACAGCCTCTACACCTTAAACAAATTCACGCCTAGGAGGACCTTAGGCCGGCCATCCTCCTGGGCAACACACACAGGACTGTATTTTGTTAATTATTCATGGATCATTTCTCTCTCAACCTCTTGTTTCATTATCTTTTCTCCCCTTGTGATATATAGCGCCCCACACGCCTCTCCCTGTATTTGTTTTACTCCCCAGTCCAACCTACCCTTCCCACTTCCCATTGTCTCTTTCTTTTCTCTCTCTTTCGTTCTATCTTTCTCTCCTGCTGTTTCTTTTTTCCGCTCGCTACGCACAATACACCACCTATTTCTAAGCCCCCCTCTCTCTCTCTCTCTCTCTCTCTCTCTCTCTCTCCCTCCATTCTGACTATGATTGTGAATATAAACATCGAAAAATTAAACATTCAGTAGGTATGAGGATATTTAATATTAAGGTAATAAAATGGTGGTGAAGGAATGGCGATTGGGGGAGGCTGGAGGCCATTAAAAAAAATAGGTAGTAGGCAGCTGCCAAAGAGGGAGGTACTACCGCCTGGGAAGATATTGGAAGCATAATGTGTTGTCTAATGGTAGACCCTGCTGCCATATGTGACCAAGTCCCAGGTTGATGATCTCACTTTCTGCCTCATTTACACACAATTGCAGGGTCTCAATTGTTTCTCTTACTTTGACAACACAACATACAATTATTGTTTCTCACTATTGATGTTTTTTTTTAATTTTTATATTTATTTATTATTATTATTATTATTATTATTATTATTATTATTATTATTATTATTATTATTTTTATTATTATTATTATTATTATTATTATTATTATTATTATTATTATTATTATTATTATTATTATTTAATTATAATATATTTTTATTTAATATTTACTAAAAAATTTATTTATAATCTTTATTTTTTTTTAATAATTCTTATTAATTTTTATTATTATTATTATTATTATTATTATTATTATTATTATTATTATTATTATATTTTCGCCCCTAGGTCCTGATGTAGGTCATGACCTGTGCTCTGGTGGGCTAATCCCGCAAAAAAAGAGAAAACAAATTCCACTAAACATTCCAACACAAACCATCAAAATTTTTCTTGTCAACAGTAAACATTTAGAACCTAACTTTTACCCATTTTGTTTTAACATTTAACATTAAAAACCTAACTTTGTCTCCCTCTACAAAAAATATTACCTTAAAAATAACAATACCCCCAAAAATAACAATACATCCAAAAAAACAACAATACGTAAAAAATAACTACAACCATAAAATAAAATAACATTAAAAATAACCACCAAAAAAATAACCAATCTTAAAAATCCTCCTTCATGACCCTCAAACATTCATAACTAATCACCATCTTTTCTCTCTTCCTGTACAGTAAACATCAAGAGCCTGAAGGTGAAGGTGCCTCGAGTGGCCTACATAGGTGAAGACGCTGAATTAGAGTGCACCTTCCCCTGGACCGACCCTCGAGACCTGTACTCTATCAAATGGTGGCGAGATAATGACCAGTTCTACCAGTACATCCCCAAGAACAAGGACCCCAAGATGAAGTTCAACGTCACCGGTATTACTGTTGAT